AAGCTAGCACAGCTCATGTGATGACCACACCCCCCCACCATGGCAGGAGAGGACCCAAACCAGCACAGCTCATGTGATGACCACACCCACCCATGGCAGGAGAGGACCCAAGCCAGCACAGCTCATGTGATGAGCTCACACACCTCCCCCGCCATGGCAGGAGAGGACCCAAACCAGCACAGCTCATATGATGACCACACACACATCCCTACCATTGTAGGAGAGGGCCCAGGCCAGCACAGCTCATGTGATGACCACACATCCATCCCCACCATTGGAGGAGAGGGCCCAAGCCAGCACAGCTCATATGATGACCACACACCCCCCCCCACCATGGCAGGAGAGGACCCAAACCAGCACAGCTCATGTGATGAGCTCACAAGCCCTTCCCCTGCCCCCACGATAGCAGGTATTCTCTTCTTGTCATGACGTGCAGTTGGCATGGCTCTGAGCTCAGGAGCTGTGTGCTGGCTGACTGGAGTCCTGCACCAGCTAGCTGCCGCTCTGAGCTAGACGGAGGGTGCAATGGACATGCGTGTTTGAGCAGGAGGCGTGAGGAATGACGGGACACGGGGCAGGAAGCCAGCACAGCAAGCTGATGCCACGCTAGTCATGGCAGCCAGGAGAGCACAAGGCACGGGGGTACCCCAGTCGCCCCCATCGGCACCCCAGCCCCACAGCTGCTGCCCCAGCCCTGCTCTTCCCGCCCCCTTGCAGCAGCACTCGGAGACACAGGGTGGGGGCTCCAAAGCCTTCTTCTCTTCCAGTCGCGGCCCAGGCTCATCTGACCTCCACAAATCAACCGGACGCTGGGGGCAGGGACCATGAACGACCAGCAGCAGCATGTGAAGGCCCTGGGAGCCCCCTGGGAGCTCCCGAGATTGCTTTGGGAACCTGCGGGGGAAGGAATGGGGATCAGAGGAGAACGGCCCCGCAGAGCCCGTCCCCAACCAAGCCCTTGCTGTGGAAGTGCGTTTCTAGTCCCACTGCCCCTCCATCGTGCTCTGGGCCCCAGCTCACTGCTGACCAGCTCTGCTGCCTCCATGGTGCCCTCGGCAAGGCAGGGCGGGGGAGGGGCAGGGTCCCTCTTTCAGCTGCTCTGGGATGTGCACCGCCCTCTGCCCCCTTACACCCTGCTCTGCAAGACGAGGCACGGGTATCCCGGAAGGAGGGACATGGGCGGATGACCGAGGCCTTGTGCCTGGCGTGGCTTGTGAGGGAGAACACCCGGACGTCTGTTCAGCAGGAACTTGGCGACCGAAGACGGAGAGGTGGGGGTTCTGCCCTCCCTGGGGAGCAGCGCGGGTCTGCAGGCCACGATCCCTCTCCTGCAGCCAAGGTCCCCTTCACCCGCACTCACGGGTGGGAAGGGAGCACACGCTTAACTCTGTCTCTGCCTTGTCCTCCTTCAGTGTCTCCTCATTGGGCACCGGCCTCTTCCTCGCCTGCCTGCCTGCGGGTGCCTTGAGTGCACGGCTGTGCTGGTTTTCAGCGTCGGCGAGGGGCATCCGGGTGAGGATTCCTAAATATTGGGGCCCTGAGTCAAATCCCTGGGAACAACACAGGCCCCGCTACGGGACGCAGGTGTACCTGTTGTGTCACTCAGGGCCGGGCTGTGACATTCCTTAGAGATGTGACAGAGGCCACGGGGGGCCGTTCGCAGCGTGTAGACAGACTGACCTCTGATCTGTGCCAGCTCCTAAGAAAGACCTGCCACAGTACATCAGAGATGCAAATGCAGTCGTCGGGCATTGTGGGACTGGACAATACTTGCATTATCCCCAAAGGCCCAAAGTGAGGGACAGCAAACGTGCCCGGGGGTAGACCCCGCACCACACCGAGAATTCCCGAGGGACAGGGGAGGTGCACACAGGAAGCACTCGCGGGAGGAGCTCGCATTGTGAGTCGCAATGGCAAACGGCGCTACGTGGGCCAGGATGTTGTGTGCGTGCTACCTGCTAAGGCACAGAGGCACCCGGGGCTGGGGAGAGGAATGGCTCTCAGCCACCGGGACAAGCGGGCGCCTCCATCCCTAGGGCCCCAGAAGCAGCGGCAGCCTTTCTTGCCTCCAGTGCCATCTTCATGCTCTGCGCACTGCCCCTCGGGTCTGAGACAGGGATTCCGGTGGGAGACGCGGCCCCTATGGGACAGAGAACGCGAGGACCTACACCCGGAACCAACAAAATTCACTGAGGGCGTGCCCGAGGAGCCCGGCACAGTGTCCGCACACGTGCTGGGGCTTCACAGCCTTTCCAGCTCGGAGCAGCTCACGTGGTCTGCAGCCTGATTACCTGCTGGAGCTCTGGAGACACCGGCTTCTCCACCCGGGAGGCCGAGCCTCCTGTCAGTCTCCCAGGCCACCAGATGGCTCCACGCGCACCATTTGGGGAAGCTGAGGATGAGAAGTGCCCACCTCCCCGACCTGGGACCCAACAAGTTGTCTGTGGGACCGAAAGGCTCCCCCTCTGCTGGTCCTCTGCTCCTGCTCCCGGTCCTCGGGAGACAACAACCCAGGGGCGGAGGGAACACAGACAGCGGGGCAGTGGCCTCTGTCGGCGGCCCTGGGCTGCCGCTGCCTGGCTGGCTGTCTAGAGCAGGCGGTCTAAGCTGGGAAGGGCTTAGCGCCCACGCGGGACGAAGGATGGGGGCAGGCGCATGTTGCACAGGGCTGGGTGTGTGAGGGTCAGCAGAGCCGGTCCCTGTCCCTGGGTCCCACCTGAACTCCATGAGCCTGCCTCTGCAGGCAGTGCTGAGGTGTCTAAGCTCTGCAGAAGGGTGTGCAGAGCACTTACCCAGGAACCTCCCCGCCTCCCCTAGGGAAAGTCCCCTGGATCGGGAAGCCCGGGGTACCCACTGCAGTCCCGGAATAAATCTGCTTCACTCAGCCAAGACACAAAGGGCTGGTGTCCGCTAGGTTGTCTCCAAGGGCCTTGCATCTCCTCTCCACTCTTCAGTCCTGAGGAAAGAGGGCACACACAAGCAGTCCGAGGAGGCCGAAATGGTGTTGCCCCATTCTGTGGGGCTGACCTGCCTCCCCTCCCTTCATTGCAGCACACAGAATAGTGGGGAAAACAATGAAAATGAACGCAGTGTAGCTACTCACCAAGTGTGCGCCCTGCCTATCCCTGCAACGCTGCTCACGCGGCAACAGCAAAGAGCGCTACGTGGCTGCCGCCAGCTTGCAAGTGGGCAAGAGGAGTGCTCCAGGGACCTGCCCGAGCCAGGCGCACCCCTGCCCTCTTCCACCCTACCCAGGCAGTGTCTCCTCACCCGACCGGAGCTCAGTGGGAGAGAACAAGACCTCCTTTCCTTCCCCAGCGCGGGCGCCTGCTTGCCTGCTGATCGCCACAGTAGGCTGAGATGGCCATGCCTTACCCAGGGGCTGAGGAGAAAAGACACTCGCGGCAGCCTTCTGTTTGCAGGCCTTGGGTTCCTGTTCCGGCGTCTCTTACCTGAGCTCCCCTGTGCGGAAGGAGCAATGCCAGCACCGGGACCCAGGAGGTGAGCAAGGCAGAAGTCTAACACCTTTCTCGGGGGGAGGGGTCGGGGATCCAGCTTCCTACTCATGTCCTGGAAGGAAAACAGCTCTCCCCCCCCCCCCCGCCCCAAACCCTTCCATCCCACCCTCAGGAGGAGCCCGCCCCAGCAGTGACCTCCAGGCTTCGTGCAAAGACCCTAGACCCTTCCCGCTGCCCATCCTTGCCTAGGGGAGCCTGCCCTTCCTGCAGAGGAACACACTGGGGTCAGGCCTGAGACCTTTTCCCACCACTGTGTTCTGCCACGTGTGGCCTCTGGTAGAGGTACTCACCGCCCCCCCCCCCCGAAGGGTCTCGAGTCAGTGCAGAGGCCTGGAGACAGGACCATGGGCTCAGGGACTGCCAGACCCTCCCCGAGCACCCACGCGGGAAAGAGCCCACTCAGCTCACCAGAAGTGGTCTACGGTGCAGTGAGTCCACCCGTCGCGAGTGTCTTTTCTCTGCGTAAGGCATGGCCATCTCACGCTACTGTGGCGATCAGCAGGCAAGCAGGCGCCCGCGCTGGGGAAGGAAAGAGGTCTTGTTCTCTCACCTGCAAGGAGAGCTGGAAGAGCGTCCTGTGGGGGGCGCACCTGCTAGGAAGCGTGTCGGGCCCCTCCCCTTCCCAGGGCGGGGTTTCCCGAAGGCCTCACAGGTGCTCCCTGAGATCCGCTTTTCACTCTGAGGTCGGTGCCTGCTTTTCCAGGCGACGCTGAAACAGCAGCAGCTGGTCAGGGCAGGCGCTGCCCTCTGCCCTGGGAGCTTCTTCAGCCCTGCCTGCAGGCCCCAGGAGGCGGGCTCCAGGGGTCCGGCCCGTGGAACAGGGCTCACCACCTGCACCGACGCCCTGGCAGGTATGTCCCAGACCCCTGCCCCAAGTGCCCATGTCCCTTCTCTCCGCCCCTCCTCCTCCTACCCTCCTTTAGGAGGTTGTCCGCTGTCCTCTGAGCTCTCCACGTGGGGTGCTGTGTTTCCTGCACCCCAGGCTGGTCCACATTCCCTGCTGGTTACATCACACAAGCTGAGGTCACAAAGAAGGGTGGGGGAGGGGCAGGGACATGGCGAAGCTCCAAGGCAGAGCTGCAAAGCTGCAAAGCTCAGCTGACGTCACAACTGCGGAGCACCCGACTCCCCAGGGGAGACTCCGTGCCAGGGGCTCCACCTGCACAGGCTCTTCTCCTGCACCCTGCATTCCTCTTGGGGGGAGACAGACATTAAACAGGGGGATAGAGGGCAAGAACATCTGGAGGGCCGTGCACGTCATGGGGACACAGAGCCTGTTCAATATAAACTGGATTGGCAAGCGGGGGATGCGTGGATCTGGGTGGGGAATGCGTGGATCTGGGTGGGGAATGCGTGGATCTGGGTGGGGGATGCGTGGATCTGGGTGGGGAATGCGTGGATCTGGGTGGGGAATGCGTGGATCTGGGTGGGGAATGCGTGGATCTGGGTGGGGAATGCGTGGACCTGGAAACACTGCTTTGCCATTACTGTTTATGTGTCGCCGTGGGCATACATCTAGCAGTGGGTGCAAGTGCTCAGGAATGCGTGTATGGGTCTGCCATGTGCCTGCTGACATGGAGCAGCCCCATGCCTTCCCCCCACACCTTCACGCCTCTCTCAGTTAATGCCTCCCCTCCGTAACCACTGTCTGAACACCGCCAAGCCACACTTGGCTTTGCTCACATCCATCCCCACATGCGTCAACCCAGCACCATCAGCTCTTTTGGTCTGCTCTCTTCCTCTCAACATTGCTATTGGGGTCCATCTGCGTGGTTATGCACAGTAGCAGTCCATGCGTGCTCACTAGGGTTTTCTCCCTCTACAGTCTCAGAAAGTATTCAGTCATTCACATTCTGAAGGCCTCTTTTCTGCTCCTAGCTATTATGGATAAAGCTGAAATGTAGGTTCATGTCACGTGTTTTGCTGGGTGTGAGCACCGTTTCTGTCGAGTGATAACAAGGAGTGCAGTTCTTGCTCCATAATGTTCCTCGCGAGCCGAGCTTGTTGGCACGAAACACCATGGGCTTGGCGGTTTCAGTGACAGAAATCCGTTTTGTCACAGACACGGATGATAACGTTCAAGAGGAAGACACGACCGTGGTTCGGATTTGTTGGGACCTCTGTCTGGCTCACAGATGCTGCATTCTCCCTGTGCCCCCAAAGGCTCGCAGAGAGGGACAGTAAGCTCTCTGGTGCCTCTTCTCAAAGTGGCGCTAATCCCATGATGAGGGCTGCACCCACATGGCCTCATCTGTCCTACTTCTCTCCCCAAGGTCCCCGTCCTCAGCTAATGTCACTGAGGGTCAGGACTCCATATGGGAGTGGTGGGGGCACATGAGGAATCCACAGTTCTGCACCCCTGGGCCTCCCCACAGAAACTTCTAAGTTCTGCATACATGCAATGCACTCCGTTTATGCAAATAGCCCCTAGGGGTATTTTTTAAAAGGTTGATTTATTCATTTCACAGGCAGACTGACAGGCACAGAGAGAGACACAAAGACTGAGAGATTTTCCATCTGCTGCTTCACTCCCCAAAGGTCCTCAATGGCCAGGATTGGGCCGTGCTGAATCCAGAAACCAGGACCTAACTCAGGCCTCCCGTGGGTGTAGAATTCAAGCACTTGGGCCATTGTCCACTGCCTCCCAGGCATGCTACCAGAAAGCTGGATTAGAACCACAGAGCATGAGGCTGGCACTGCGGCTCAGTAGATTAATCCTCTGCCTAAAGTGCCGGTATCCCATACGGGTGCCAGTCTAGTCCCAGCTGTTCTTCTTCAGTCCAGCTCTCTGCTGTCGCCTGGGAATGCAGTAGAAGATGGCTTAAGTCCTTGGGCCCCTGCACCCATGTGGGAGACCCGGAAGAAGCTCCTAGCTCCTGGCTTTGGATCGGCACAGCTCTGGCTGTTGTGGCTATTTGGGAAGTGAACCAGCGGACAGAAGACCTTTCTCTCTGTCTCTCCCTCTCACTGTAACTCTACCCCTCAAATAAATAAATAAAACCTTTAAAATTACTTAGATGAAGAGGAAATATTTCTGAAAAAAATACATACTGGAAAAACGAACTCAAGTACCTATAAAAATATGAATAAATGTATAGCAAAAAAGATATAAATTGCCTAGCTGACCATAAAACCACATAGAAGAGCAAACTGTCAAGAACAGTCAAAATATCCTGTCTGAAACCATCAAAATTGTACAACTCCCCATGCTCTTGAGTTCAAAATGTGCTATACAGCTCCAGTAACTAGAAAGGTATGAAAACATGATACTGGCATATGGATAGATATATATGTAAACACAATGATATTGGCAATGTACTAGTATTTCTTTTCATTTGTGAACAATTGATTTTCAACAATATATCTGAGACAATGTATTTGGAAAAATTAGACTTTTCAACAGATGTTTTTATAACACTTGAATATCCACATATAAATATGCATTTAGATAACTACCTCATGCTAGTGAATATTAATTCAAAATGGATTATAGACCCAAGTGCATGAGCTATAAAAGAAATAGAAATGTCAGATGAAATAGTCTTAATATAAAATGCTTATAATAATTAACAGAAATAACTATTCACAAACTTGTGTTAGTCAAATTTTTTAAAGATATGAAAGCAAAAACACAAGGACCTAAAAAAATAGATAATTTATATCTTATTAAATTAAAAATAGCATTCTTCGAAGCCCATCATCAATAAATGAAAAGCATGACCCACAGAATGGAAGAAAATGTTTGCAAATCATCTGTCAGATAAGGGATTTGAATGTATTTCATGTTAATAATGGATAACTGTTCAATAACAAATAAAAAGATAAATTACTCAAATTAAAAGTGGAAAATATATTTGGAGTGGGATTTATCCAATGAAAACATACATATAGTTAATAAGTAAACAAAAGATCAGTGACTCATTATGGAAATATAAATCAAAACCCAGTGCTAAACTTCTTTTTACTCACCAGGATATCTATTCACTACAACTGACACTGACAAGAGTCAGTGACGATATGAACAATTCAGGTCCCCCATCATTGCAGATACGAATGTAAAATGGCACATCACTTTGAAATACATTTTAGCTGTTTATGAATATTTTAAACAACATGAATGTTAATCTAATGCTTAATACACAAAATTTGATGTATCCATAAAATGAAATCCACTGCAATAAAAAGGAATTAAAAGGGCTGGTATTTTGGCACAGTGGAGTAACCAGTGGCCTATGACACTGGCATACCATATCCAGCACTGACTCAAATACTGGCTGATCTACTTCCTCTGATAGGTTTTTAGGTTTTTTTTTTGGGGGGGGGGAGTTATTTTTTAAAGGTTTATTTATTTATTTGAAAGGCTGAGTTACAGAGAGGCAGAGGCAGAGAGAGGGAGAGACATCTTCCATCTGCTGGTTCACTTCCCAAATGGCCCCAATGGCTGGACCTGGACTGTTCCAAAGCCAGGAGCCTGGAGCTTCTTTCTGGGTCTCTCACTTGGGTGTAGCAGCCCCAGCACTTGAGCCATCTTCTACTGCTTTCCCAGGTCATAGCAGAGTGCTGAATGGGAAGTGCAGCAGCTGGGTCTCAAACCAGTGGCCAAATGGGATGCCAGCACTGCAGGCAGCAGCTTTAGCCACTAAGCCACAACACTGGCTCTGGGTTTTTAATTTTCATCCTGGAGCAGGCTAGACAGGATTACAAATTCCAGCCCTCTGATGAATTTTATCCCTGCCTCTGATTGGTTGTTATCCGGCACTCTGATTGGTTGTTATTTCATCCCTTTGAATGGCTGTTATTTTAGCCTTCTGATTGGTTGTTAGCTGTTATTCCAATCCTCTCCTCATTGGATAAAGCTAGGTAGCCACTTTTGTGCATAAAAGAGCTAGTACCCACTGGCTTCCTGAGTAAATCCTTTCTTGGAGTTCTTCCACATGAGACAAGAACCAGATGGCCTTCATCATTCTGCAAAAGCATGAAAAGAGCTTTGCTTGAAATCAATACAATTTATAATGACACATTATAATTATTAGAGAATTAAAGATTAAATAACAGGCTGGCACTGTGGCATACAAGGTTAAGCCATTTTCCAACCACATCCCTCTATCCCATACCTCCCTCCTCAACCTTTAATAACCACTATTCTAAGCTTAGATAGAATGCTTATGTTTTAATTTCTACATGTGAGGAAGAACATGTAACATCTGCCTTTCTGTTTCTGGCTTAATTTATTTAACATAATGTTCTTCAGTTCCATCAATTAGGCTGCAAATATTAGGATTTCATTTTTTTCAGGAACCAAATAATATTCCATTGTGTATTTATACCACATTGTTTTTATTCATCGATCTGTGAAAATGTATAAGTATTCCATATTAATGAAAAACTCTAAAAAGTAAAATAATTTTAAAGAATAAGTCATAGACCAAGCAAAAACTCCTCCAAAATTAGCGAATAATGCACACTAAATAAAAATAGTAACATTGTACTTAATTATACATATTTGACACATTTGAAGCCAAATATATCAGTCATGTAAAAAATGTGTGAGGCCGGACAAGCACATTTCCAATCCAGCTCCCTGCTATTGAGCCCGGGAAAGCAGGGGAGGAGGGCACAGCGCTTGCTCCCCTGCGTCCGCGTGGGAGACCTGGATGGAGTTCCAAGCTGCAGCCAGGACCAGCCTTGGCTGTCGTGGCCATCTGGGGAGTGAAGTAGTGGATGGAAGGTCTCCTTCTGTCTCTCCCTCTCTATAACTTTGCCTTTCAACTAAATAAATAGATTTTTTTTAAAAAAAAGAATGAAATTTGATGTTAAAGATGGAATTAAAAGATGTTTTTTTAAAAAAAAATGTGAATGGGCTTAATGTGTCTTTTAAAATAAAAATATTTCAGTTTTGCCCACAAGTTAAGACTCAATTATATGCTTTATACAAGAGGGACATCTAAGCAAAACTAACAAATAAACAAACCATAAACTACTATTATCAAGAAAGAAGGGAGAAACAGGAACTATAAACAAATAACAAGTGGTGAAGGGAAGAAACTAGATAAGGGAGACGT